AAGAAGAGGTTTTTTCTTTGAGTTTTGCACCTTTTTTCTGGCATTGCCGCATGCAGAAAGGCCTTTGTAACCCTTTAAAGCCTGATCCAAGAATAAAACAAAACAGAAAATTACTTTTTTTGGTTTGAATTCCTTATTTGGCCTTTTAACAAAATATGTAAAAAGAAAAAACTGAAATACATTTTTGATATGAATAATTTATTACTATGGATAAGTCAAGATTATTTTTTGTGTAGTCTTCTGCCCCCTGTTATCAGGTGTATCTGATTGTGTACAATAGAAAAATAATAATAATTAAAAAAAATTTAAATTAATTAATTAAATAATAATAAATATGTAAATGAATAAATATATAAATAAATATATAAATGAATAAATATATAAATAAATATATAAATGAATAAATATATATATATATAAATGATAAAAAAAATTAAACATACAAAATGAGGATTTTGAGCAAAGTTTGCACTATAAAATTATGCAAAAAGTGTCAGACGCAAAACATTTAAGAAACCGTATGAATCAGATATGATACATTTGGCATTATAGGGTTAAGTTTGTGGGTCTGTGTGTGTTTTTGGGTATTTATGCTGCTCAGCCTCAGGTCAGAATTGGCTGTAAGCCAGCAACATCTGCAGGGGTTTAGAGAGAGAGAAGAAGCTGAAGATAACTGATCAGTGTGTGCACACTGACATGCACACCTGCCCCCCACGCCCCACTTATTGAATCCATGAATCAATTTAATGAACAGAAGACGGGGTCAGGACTTCAATAAACACCCCACCAAGCTTTCAATTTAATGTCTGCCCAATGAATGATACTGTATGTTCAACAAACATCCATTGAAAAGGACCTTGTAGATATTGGAAATAGAGTTAGAAACATTCCCCCTGTACAATATTCGCTTTTTACCTCAGATTCTCCAGCTTGTGCATAAACAATTTCAAAATGCTGCCAGACTGCAGATGAGTTTAAACCTATAATGCCAAATGTATCATATTTGATTCATACGGTTTCTGAAATGTTTTGTGTCTGACACA